TTCCTTTTCACCGTGTACCTACTGTGTGCTGAGCTGTGCTCTATAGGTTGGAAATACAGCATGAACACGGTGGATAAAATCTCTGCCTTCCTGAGATTTGTATTCTGCTGGGAATAGAATGGAATCAAATGAATGATTTGCATCTCTAATTAATTAATTAGCATGCAGAGAAGAGAAAGGAAGAGGGTGTGGAGCAGAGAGGTCTCAGAACATGGCAACCAGCACCGTGACAGAGCTGGAGGCCTCAGCTTCCCACTCCCCACAGCAGCATTCATACCTGCTCCTTCCTCACACATGGTCATCTCGACGTGGGTACCTGTGCTTACCCAGCTTTCCCCGCGTGCTCCTGACCCCTGCTTTCCATCCCGAGTTCCCCTATGCTGGGCCAAGTGACTCCATCACTGGCTTGGGAACCAGTCACGTCAGCCTTGCTGTCACCTGTCCCAGAACTGGTTGACTCCTTCCCATCAGGATGTTTCTTCTGCCCCAGCATCTTCTCCAAGGCTTCTGGACACTTCCCACCATCGTGTTAGCATCCACCACACTGTGTTGTTATGCTTCCTTCTGACTGGTTAGTCATCTCTTCTCACACGCCTCAACCTTTCACAGACCATTTCCTCAGCCTGGAATATTCTCTCTCTTCTCAGATCCCCACTCTCCTCTATCTTGGCCTAGCTATTTCTGCCTCCCCCACAGAAAATGTGCCCCCGTGTGTGTGTGTGTGTGTGTGTGTGTGTGTGTGTGTGTGTGTGTGTTTACTAACTCTAGCTGGCTTTGAAATTCAGTGATCCTCCCGCCTCTGCCTCCCAAGTGCTGGGATCCCTTCACTTTTGCTGAGACTGTCCCTGTCATCAGGAGTTAGCCCAGTACCTGACCACAATAGATGCTTGAGTTTGGATTTTAAAAAAAAAAAAATGAATGAATCAACTTTGTACTTGTGAGTGGCATGACAACGGAGTGTTCAAATATCTGCTGACCTACTTACTTGACCTATGACCTTGGGATCTGACCTTCCTGGGTTCTTGCCCACCTAAAGTCAAGGTTCTTAGCACAGAATTGAGAATTATGTGAACTAAGTGTGGCGTCAGTGTGAACACACTCACACCCAGGAGTTTCTTGGTAAACTGGCCGAGGAGTTGATAGTCTTAATGCAAGGCCCTTCCTCAGAACACTCAGAGGTTGGGTTCAGCCCAGATGATGGATTAGACTCCAGGGTCTGTCACTCCCTAAGTGTGAAAAATGACGCCCGATACTTGCATCTTATAGGTAGCTCTGTTTCCTCACCTGTAAATGGAAGTCAAATGATACTCCTTTAGACGAGGGTTGTAAGATTCAGCATGGGTCAGCACCCAATAAATGTCAACTGGTGCCAGAGCTATTAACTCACAACATGGGTGACCACGGCATAGGCTCGAGCCCCCGGTTCTTGATGAATGAAAAGACGAGTTTCCAGAAAGGTTAAGTAACTGTCCAAGGTCAAACAACGAGGAAACGGCAGCCTTGTACTTCAAGGCCAAGTCTGCTGTGCCCAAATCCCATGTTATTTCCACTCCATCAAAGAGGCAGCTCAAAATAGGCCGGTGGCATTTCAGCTAATTTTCTCTAAGCCCTTCCCAAGTAACAAACTGTAGTCACACAAAGCCTCTCCCTAGACATCCATTCAGCAGCCACTAAGCACAGGTGCCTGGTGAGCCCAGAGTAGCAAATAGAGCCTGAGCAGAGCCAGCTCTCCCAGGTGGCCTTTCTTGCCCTCAGAAGGACCCTGTGACATATAACTCACTTGGAAAGGGGGAGGGCTGTGAGACAAGAAATGTCTAAAGGATGAAGACAGAGAACATTCTGGATGCTAACTGGAGTAAAGACATGAGAGACGACCCCCTTGCTGCATGCCAGGCTCCTTGCTTTCCTTCTGCATATGAAGTCCACAAGCTGCTCAGTCACCGTTTACCAAGAGTCTGCTACAATCTGGAATGTCCTTGGGTCCCAAAGTCATAACAGTGAACACTACTCAGATCTTTCTCTCAAGGGGTTATGAGGCAATGAGGGGGTCATGGCACAGTTAAATGTGATCAATGTGGTGACTGAATTCATATCAGTGTGGCAAGCAATGAAGAACAGAGGGTATCTGGGAAGCTCTAAAAGGAGTGGACAAGTGGTTAGGGACCCATTTTTCAGACACTGAAACTGAGTCTTCAGGAAGCCAACTTGGGTAGAGTACGGCAATTGTCCAAGTCCCGAGTAAAGCTGTGTCCCCAGGCCTATTCTCTATGCAGTAGTCTCGCTGTCTCTATGCTGGCTGTGGACACTGCTTCCCCTCCCCCCTGTTGTTTTCCCAGTGACGATGTGGCCAGAAGATGAATCAAAAGCTGTGAATGCTACAGCCGCTGTCAGCAGTTCTGAGGTTAGCAGAGTCTGAGAACAAACAGAGGCTTCTGAGATTCTGGTAAGGGTGGGTGCCTTTTGAGCAGAAGGGGTTGATGTGAAGAGAGGAGGGATGAGAAGAAATGTTTTGCTCTCACTGTGTATGGGAAGGTCAAAGGCAGCCAAGGTGACAGGCATCAGTGAAGAGAAACCTTTCAGACACATATAAGACACCTAAGTGTCTCTCCCAACTCCTCTGTTCAAAAGACCTGGGTAATCTCAGAAGCCTTGACACCTGCCCCTCACATCTTCCTTAAGAATAGTAGCCCAACACCCATCCAAGCCACTACTAAACTGCTCCTTTGATGAGAAGACTATCCCCTACCTCTTCTCCACCGACACTCTCCTCCTACAACAGGAATCCAAGGCCCATGAACCCTTTCCATGCAAGCCAGCTCCAGTCTCCACTAAAATCCCTTAGCACAGATTGCAGAGCTCTGGGTCCTCGCCTCTAGATGCCAGGACCGTCTTCCCGAAGCAGAAATACAGCTATCAATCCTCAGAAGGGTCCTTCCAATCTGAGGAAGGAGCAGAGATTGGAAGAAAAGGAAGTTTTATTCAGGGTAGAGAAACAGGTAGTTTCTACCTGTGACTGGGCAGATGAGAGGAAGAAGTTAGGCTCTGGGATTTGCACTCAAGGATCTATTTCTAATTCAGCCATCTCCTGTGTCCACCCCTAATCACTGGATCGGTGAGAAATGATCAAGCAGATCATCTCAAGGCAACGTGAGGGATGGAATTACTAAATTATAAAGTCAAACCATCTCTCTACACCCTTCAACTGACCCAATGGATTCACAGTTTTCGCTAGCCCCTCCCCCAAAGGAAAAACTTACCCTCGAGCCTCATATGGCCTCCTCTTACTTAGTCACAAAACTGATCAGAGAAAACATGTCATCCTCAGAATGAGCATCACCTAACTACTTCAATTTCCAGGGTCGCATTAAGGAAAAGTTGCGTACACAGTCTGGAGAGGTGATGCAGGAAGCAACCCAGGCTTGCGGTTCTGCTGAGCAAGAGAGTCCTGTCTTTCTCTACTCATAGCAGAGAGGTTTTTAAAAAATCAATCTCATTTATGAATGACAAGGGAAACTTGGAAAGATCCACAACTCACCTGCTTCTCCTGAAAACAATTTTTATCTTTGAGATGAGTATCATAGCCCAGTTACCAGCCACCCTCTTCTCATTCTTTCACAAGAGTAATGTTTCCAAAATGTCTACTTGTGGAAGCAAGATGTAGAATTTCACAGAAAAACTACAGAGAGTCACAGATAAAGCTATACACCCCTGTTAGCCAGAAAGGGAGAAAGATCAAGAGGAAATGAGGAAGGAGATGCATCTATCCAGCCAGTAAAATAAAACAATCTCCCCTCCCCAAAAAGTGTAGAACCCATGATTAGGGGAGGAAAAAAAAGCACATAGAGACTATGTTTATAATTACCCATCCAGGTTCTCTTCCAGGAGGAGAAGCAGCTGATTGAAGTTTTGTAGGAATCTGGCTGTGATGGAAGGGCGGTATTTGAAGCTCTGGGCACGTAGAGATGGAATGAGAAGGAGGCTGATCTGGAAGAAACACCGGGGGGGGGGGGAGAGGAGAGAGAGAGAGAGAGAGAGAGAGAGAGAGAGAGAGAGAGAGAGAGATCGCCAGCTACGCCTTCTTCCTAGCTCCAGGAGGCCCCGGCCAGCGCTCATTCCGGAACTGTAGAACAGGAGTCGGGGAGGCCAGGCAGCCCTGCTCTCGGCCCTGGCCTGGCCCGTCCGTGGATGACAGAGGCCCCGTGGCCGGGCCCCACTCCTGGCGGGCTACAGAGCGCAGGGAGCGCACAGAGTGGGGGAGCTGTCCAGTTCAGCACCACGGCGACGCAGTAGGTGGGCGCTCCTGCTCCGAGAGCTGTCCAGTCCAGCACCGCGGCGATGCTGTAGGTGAGAGCGCCCGATCGCGGGGAGCTGTCCAGTTCAGCACCACGGCGATGCAGTAAGTGGAAGAGCCCGGCCGGGGTGAGCTGTCCGTTTCAGCACCACGGCGATGCTGTAGCTGGGAGCGCCTGGCCCGGGGCTGCGCGGCCGCGAGCGGGGGAGGCGGGCGGGCCTGCCTGCTGCAAGACGCCGGCTAGCGCGCCCCATCGCTCGCTCGTTCGCTGGCTTCCAAGGAGCTTTGCGGATCGGGGGAGGGAACCCCGCCTCGATTCTCCGGGAGAAACCCCCTCCCTCCCCCACTTCGCCGACACTACCCCCGCCGCCAACAACAATAACCGCGGCTGCTCGTCCTGCCGCCACCGCGCCCGCCAACCCTGCTGCCGCCGCCGCCGCCGCCGCCGCTGCCGCCGCCGCCGGGGCACAACCATGGGAGGCGAGACCCCCTCACTGGTGCAGCTGAGCTCGAGGGCTTGCAGAAGACTGGACAGTCTCCTCTGAAACGGAGGCGCCCCGAGGACCCCCTCCCTCCCCAAGGAAGAGAACTGGCGAAGCCACGGATTTTCATGGCGCAGGCCGCAGAGCCGCGAACGAAGACCGAAGGTTGCTTCCCAGCTCTTCCAGTCTCTAACTGTCTAGGTCCGGACCATGAGAGATGGTGTTGAGAATTCGGCTGTACCCTGGCGCGCTGTGGAAGCCATCTCCAATTTAGCGATCACATATGGAAACTGGAGACCAGAATTTTAGGAAAAGAGATTAAGGCATCTCACTTTGGGGGGGGTGGGGGGTGTCTTTTTATTTATTTTCCCTTTTTTAAAAAAAACAAACCGCTGCAACTGGAACAGTTTTTTGATCTCAAAAGGCAAGCCTCTCTTCCCGTGTGATCTTTATAATTTACACACTTTTCCGTGAGCTTTCTTATCTCCCTTTTTTTATATCTCTCCATATTCTCTATTCACACATGTATCCATTATATTAGTAGTGGAATTACCAGTCGCACCCTCACACACGCGCTCCTGAGAAGCAGAAGTCGGTTGGGTGTTTATATAATGAAGAATTATGGGGCTGTTTGATCGAGGTGTTCAAATGCTTTTAACCACCGTTGGTGCTTTCGCTGCCTTCAGCTTGATGACCATCGCTGTGGGAACCGACTATTGGCTGTACTCCAGAGGGGTTTGCAAGACCAAAAGTGTCAGTGAGAATGAAACCAGCAAAAAGAACGAGGAAGTTATGACCCATTCCGGATTATGGAGAACCTGCTGCCTCGAAGGTATTTGATTTCCTACCTCCTCCCCCTTCCCACGCCGCCCCTCCCCTCCACACTCCCCCCCCCCGCCTCCAAATAACTCCCCTCCACATTCCACCATTTTCCCACTTCACTCCCTCCGCCGCTGCTGCAGATCAAGGTTGGCTGGGTTAGTTTCAGAGGAAAGAAAATCAATAGGCAGAACCCACACTCTCTACTCTTTGGCTTCCACCTCGTCCTCCCAAACCTCCTCATTGGAATGATCTATGGTACGGTGAAAACAGGAAATTGTCTGTAGAGTCAGATGTGCTCTGGATGCTTTGGAGTCCTCAGGGTTGCCTTTGGGTCTAGCTTTGCCACCTATGAGGAGGGAAAATAATTGCTTCCCTGCGTGCCGCTTAGCCTTTTGCAATGAAGGATTCAGAAGACGTTCTTCTCTTCTCCTCACTCCTCAAAAGTTACAGGCCCAGCACCATCTGCAAGTCTCCCTTTAAAAAAAAAAAAAATCTGTTGTTTCTAAGAATCCTTATTTGGTAGATTCTAATTATTCCAGGAGCTCAAGCCGAGTTCAAGAGCATTTCGTAATGTCTGCGAGCCCCACGTATCACTCGAGGTGGCTGGCTGTGTGTATGTGTGTGCTTTAACATTTACGAAGTCTAAAATGCATGTGTCTCTCACAGGAAACAAGCCCAAGTTCTAATAAACAGCGGTCACTTGCGGGTTAGGCTGAGCGCTGATTTGCTTCCACGCAGAGTGACATGTCTGTCATCCAAAAGCAAGTCGAGTCAGCACTGTGCAGGCAGGAGGCGAGGGCATGGAGAGGTTGGGGGGATGAGAAAGCATGGGGTGGGGGTGTCAGCTGTTGGTCTTGATCTTGCAGAGTCATTGGGGCATGTGTGCTGCATGTGCTGTGGACCAAGGGGCTCCCACTATGTAAAAGCCGGGAGACTAGGACATGGGGAAGGCATGTGCTTTGGGGACACATTAATAAACACAAGAGGGGGGAACTCTGCAGGTCATACAAGCTGCATTTAGCCACAGACTTTAATATGAAGGAGTGAATTTGCATAGCTATATCTGTATGTGTGCAAAAGCCACCTATAGGAAGACAGGCAGAGAGACACATATGCCCCTGTGTGGAAAGAAGCTTGTCTGTGTTCCACTGACGTGAACCAAGCCCGGAGGCCCTTTGAGGTGGCGTCGGATAGTGAGCACTGCAGAACTGTTTGTTAAGCTCAACGTGGGATGGTGTACTGCAGGGAGTTGGGGCCAGCAGATGTCGGGGGGGAAAGGGCAGAACTGACGTGATCCTGGGGGTCTAACCTATACTAAGCCAACCACTAGTCTGGGAAAAGAGCTCACATTGCAATGCCCCCTCCCGGTGTTCTTGGTGCAAACGGTTGAGTGATGGCTGAACATGTTTTGAATAGCTAAGTGACTTCATTGAGCGATGGTCTGTTTGACGCATACTGCATTTGATACCCTTTCTCGGTCCAAGCACTGCCTTTAACATTCTGCAGAGGTGCTCTCTGCTGAACACTCCGTGCTCCTCCCCAGCCAGAGAGTCAATATCAGGAAATTAATAGGGACCGTTTTACACACACGCATTCCGCCTCTCTTAAAAAATGAAAAGCCTTTCATAGCGCCAGTCATTTGCAGTGGGAAGGCAGCTTCCATGTAATTAAACATTTATGGCAAGCTTTGATGCCGAAAGAGAAAAGGGAATGAGGGTTGCTTTGGGGACATGATCCTGGCAGCTGCTTGCATTCCTTGGATTTTGGTTAGAGGGATAAGAGATCCGCAGCCAAGAAAAATTAGAGAAAAATCTGTGTCTTTATTTTAGGGCACATGTAATCAGATATTGGTGACTCGGTATAAATATGCCTTTTAAATCGGGGTTTCTTGACGTATCCTTAGCGTTATGATCTTCTAAACGTCTTGTAATTCGCAGTAGACATGCAGGCTTGCGGTGGCTCTGAATCACTTGTGTATCAAAGGGCTTAAGTATTTTCATTAGCCGCCCATCTGTTCCAAGTCCGCAGATACCCACCTCCTCTAACTTTCTCTCTGAGCTGTACTCTCTTCTGCCTCCATCAACTATAAAGTGTTAGAATCGCGGCACCCCCCCACTCCAGGGTTGTGTGATGCTCACAGGAGCTGTGGGTTTGGCACTGTCCCCAGCGGCCTCCCCGGGTGCTCAACCCAGGCACTTGCCTCCAGGCTGTGAGGGGAGGGCTGGATTAATCGTCTCTTTTCCACAAGGCTCAGGCTGAAAGAGCTCATGAGTTTCAGGGTCATGTCTGACCAGACTTTCCATTTCTTACAGCTTCTGTCTTGGGGTTCCTCAAACCTGGGACCACCTTACCTTGGCCACTTAAGAAGTGGCTGGTGCTGATTTTCAAACTGCATGCATTTCCTAAAACCGGAGTTTGGGGATTCCTGTGAATTGGCATGCGTGGCTCTTATGGTATTGACAAGTTAGCATCTCTGAGTGTTCAGAATACGGTCAGCTTCAGCAAGGGCTGGGTTATTGGTACTTCTTCAAGTCAGGGTCTGGGGTGAGAAAGTAGGCTTTCCAGAAAGATCCCCCCATCCCACCTTGGATTGCGCTCTGTGCCCACACTGAAGACCTGGTGAACAGGTTTCCAGTTTTCTCCCTGAGAGTCTGCCGGTAACCACAGCTGCAAACCAGGCCTGACCGCCTGTCGTCACTTTTGCTCTCTAGCTTTCATTAGGATTTTTGTGCGTGATCTCATGAGATGGTTATTTTTCTTTTACCTCTTCATGAAAAGAAGAACTGAGAAATAGTCCCCTGCCTCTGTGTCTGCTTTTGAAATTAATGAGTCTGTGGAGGGAATAAGAAAGGGACACGGCCACCTGTTAAGGCCACACTCTGGGGAAGGAAATATTCCCCTCTGTGGATAACTGAAAGGTCTCTCTGTGTGAACTCTTGAACTCTCTGGCAGGTGGGTGTCTCTCCTGGGATTCGAACCTGTGGTGGGAAAGGTGGTTGGGTGTGACCCCGGAATGAACAGAGTGCTGGGTGGAAGCATTGAATTGTTCAGAGACTGCCTTAGGGGTCCTTGAGTTGGAAGCTGAACTGGCTTTTTCAGAAAACAAACTTAGTCAAATCTCTGAGACGGCACAGGAATGGTGTGCTCCAAGCACAGTGTGTCTGGACCACCTTGGCTTGCCACTTGGAGAATGAGCCCCTACTGTAACATTAGAGGAAGCATCATCTCCAGGGATTAGAGATCCATCCTGTTGAGGCTCCCCAGTTCCTGCCTTCCTTATGTCCCCACTCCACTCTTCCCCCAAAGGACTGCCAGCCCTGCAGAGGAAGAGCCAGGGGCACGTCCACAAGCCACCCAACCTGCTCCGTCTTTTTGTGCTCTTTACCTCAATGTATAAGGAGCAATAAAAATATTGCTCTCTGTCCATATTGGTGCCTTCCCCCAATGAACTTCCCAGCTCCTGTAGCATCAGGGGTGTCTCTGTCTGTTTCTGTTTGGGACCTCTGATGATCACTCTTTCCCTCCACTACCTTTGAACGACACCTCCACTGTCCCTGCTTGTCTTTTCTAAGTTCAGAACTGCACGGTCCTCGCCTGGCCTTCAAGGTGGCAGAATGTTCCGGGCCTCTCAGCATGCTATCTTGTCTCTACAGAGAGAAAGAATAGAGCATTAGCTCTAGGGGAAGCCACCCGCCTTTCTGGACACTCTTGCCTTCAACTGAGCCTTCTCGGTGTGTGAACACCGCTCCCTAATGTTAGAATAAGATTTTTGAGATAACCTGATATTTTCTAGGCTCTAGAGTCTAGGAACTTTTTGTCCATAGTAGGTGCACAAGAAATACATTTATCAACATCTTGATTCGGAGATTCTTAATATGATAGAAATGAATGCAAACATTATTAGAATGGAGAGAGAGAGAGAGAGAGAGAGAGAGAGAGAGAGAGAGAGAGAGAGAGAAAGCAAGAGCGATCAGAATAATTTGTTTTTTCTTCCTGGAATTCTTTTTAAAAAATAATAATGAGTCAGGAGTCTAGAGAAGCCAAAGGACTCTGCCACTGGGCTGTGCAGTTCCTAACTGGCCAAAGTAAGGGCGAGTTATTCAAGGGAAGGGGAAAATAGTCTGCACAGTCTCTACAGG